TGTGTATGTTTTACCTGTTAAGTGAAATGGCCAACAGTATCAGCAGGATAAAAAGTTATTTTGTCTCTGACTCATACAGCAGAACTGACAAGCAGGCAAACAGAAAATACTTTTGTTGATGTCAGATTGATACTGAAAGATTGTCAGCTACTTTTGTTAGCGTAGGATAGATATCGAAAGGTTGTCGACTTCCATTTAGGCACCCTGGTCTTGGAGAAGGTGTATTTACTATGTATGTATGGCCTGAGCCATCCCAAAGACTCAGGGTGAGTAAAAAAAAAAGTGAACAAATAAAAATACCTACAATACAGAACAGAATATTCTATAATATCATGTTACTAAGTTGTTCAAATGTCCCTATCTTTTATTACTTTCTCTTGATGCAGATATATTTCCTAGATCAGCATATAAGATGTCCCTCCCAAATGCCTTGATAAATGTCCAAAATCCCAGGGAGGAGGGTGGAATGGTAAGAGAAAAGAATATATTGTGGGAGGACAAAGATTGATATATGGATGCGGGGGACTGAACCCCTTCAAACTGCACTTTATGGCCCATCAACTATAGCGAATCAAGTCCAAACCTTCCAAAATTTCATGCCCAACTCGTAATGGGCTCACCAGGAACCAAAACTCTCCACCATCAGACATGCATCCCTTCAATAAGTCCTTACCTTCATCCAAAACTTAACACTGCTCAATCATTTGAGCTAAAAGCTTTGGGAACTCCTTTTTTTTTGGCCACTCTTCTTAATGACAGTGGGTACTATATATACACAAGTAGCCAGGCCATAAAATGAGGCATGTGCTGAATCGCTGCACAGGAACAGTCCTACTTTGTGACAGTAAGTTTGTGGGAAGGAAGGGGAGGAGAGCTGCCCCAGACCAGCTTCCTTGGAAAGTCCCTCAGCTTTCTCTGAGAAAGCTCAGAAAGTCCAAGCTTAATTATGAGGCGAGTGAGGGAAAAATTTCTCAGTGCTGGTCAGGACTTCCTTTTTTGCTGACTTAATCCTGAGTTCCAAAGGACTAGCCCCCAAAGAGAGATCTGACTACACTTCCCCAAAGTGCAGAGGCTTGAATTCTGATGAATCGGCAGTTTGAAGCATTTTATAACACTGTGGTTATGTCCTTGTTGTGTGGAGAACCACTAAGAAAGTCTCTCTTGCATACCTTGGCTGTCTGAATGTGGGCCTCTCAACCAACTTATAGTCACAGCACAAATAATGAAAAATGTGGAGAAGAGAAGGGGTTTTCTCCAAGTCCTTTCCAGCTGTTGATGACAGGAGCATAGTCAGACCTATGAACAGCTGAAGTGGATTTCATCATTTTATTGTATCCTGATAGCCCCTTCTCCTTCTTTTAACTCCTGTAGTTCGACAGAGTCCATCCTTGCAGTTTGCATAAGTTTGTGATTTTTATTTTTTTGCCAAGGGCATAGCTGTAGCTGAGTGACTTTGTAAAGAATGGTCATTCACCCATCATTCTATTTAGCAGAATCACTCAACAGCATTAAAATGCTGAAGGCATTTTAACTGGTGTGGATATGTTGCTCTTCCTGGGCAGCTTTCATGATCCTGTTAGCTGGCAAGCCTCTTGGTGGGTTGTCTAAAAGGACACTTCTGAGGAAAATTTGTTTTATAAGTAAAAGATGTCTGAAACAGCATAATTATATGGAATGTTCCTTGTTACTCCCATTCTTTATGTGTCTAATCAGATTTCATTAGCTGGCTTGTCAGCCGAGGGGGTGGGGGTGGCGGTTTAGAATCGATGCAATGCACATTTCACAAAGTTTTGAAATATATGTTTGATTTTTGCCGTAACTATGGCAAAGGATGTTGCAAGGAGTTGCAAGGGAGATGTTTCCTAGAATCTGACCTTGTTCATGTCAGTAGGGTAAATGGATCGGCTGATATGCCAGATGAAAACATGTCCAATGGGATCTAGACTGCTAACAGCTTACAAAGGATCAGTAACCACCTGCCTCTTTCTTAGTGGTGCTTTATTAAAAATAATGTTTACTGGTGGTGGTGGTAGCCGCACTATGGGATGGGGGATGTATAGCCTCAGGCAGTTACTGGATGAACTGCTGCAATGTCACAGTAAGCTTAAGGAGCCATTCTGCCATTGGCTCAGCTCTTTTGACCCTAGAGAGCAAGTAGGAATGCAAAAGCCTCAGGAACATGAGGCAGAACCAGAGCAGCCTGGAACAGGAAGCTGTTATTCAACATCTGGGGGCGAATATGGGCTCCCCATCCCTGCTGTCAAACTGCTACTCATGGCTTTGGGATCTGGGTGTGGAAATGAGCCCCTTTGGGGTTAGACTGACCCGCACACCAAGGGACTGGGGGGGGGGTATAGTGAGCCAGGAAGACAGATGGTCTATGTCTCCTTTGTATAAATTTATTTAAAAAAACTTCCTCATCATCATTATTTTTCAAAAATCTACATGACATTCTTACTTAAAAAAATTACTACTTACATGGTTATTAGACATGGTTATGAGGTGATCTGAGGGCAGGGGCGGAGGAAGGGGGAGCTGTGGGTGCAGACCACCCCGGGTGTCACTGAGGGGGGTGACAAAATGCCAGGAAGCACTCACCGTGGGGCCTGCAGTGCTCTCAAGCCACGTGTCTCTCCTGGGAGAGATGCAGTGGCTAGGGCACAGGCAGGCTCTGCGCTGCCCAAATGGTCCTCCCACTGCCTCCCCCCCCAGCTGTAGGGCGACTGAGTGGGAGGAGGCAGGCAGACTCGGGGGGCCCTGCGGTTCACCCTGTCCCTGTGGGTGGCTCGCCCCGCCCCTGGGCGTGCCACCCCAGGTGCCTGAGTGGCTTCCTCCGCCGCTGTCTGAGGGCTACTTTTTAAAATAAATTTTCACATTATTATTTTATCAACCACCACCACCAGTAAGACCTGTTCCAAGTGACTAGAAATGCCTCTGAAAGTTATGCTATGACATGTCAACACGCTAGGGACCTTATGTGGAAAAGAGGTGGCTGGCCCCATCCCTAATCAGGAATGCTTCACTCAACACCTGAAAAGGTGCAACCAATGGGTCAGGTTCAAATGCCCGTAGGCTGAGGAAAGGTCGCAAGGCAGCTTCTGCATTATATAGCGTTTCTGCATGGTCTATAGTACGTTTTGTAGATTGCCTTTCCACTGAATCTTAATAATAAAAAACCGGCCTCAGTTAACCAAGTGACATGTTTCTCTATTCCAGGAATAAATGTAGCCATCCTGTCTTCATTCTATTTTAGTTTTTAAAACAACTTTGATCACAGAAATCATCCAATTCCATCAGTGGTATGTTGCTGGTGATAAGACAATCTCTTCTGTATAACCATGAACACGTTATAGGAGATACATTTCCCTGTTGAATTATAAAATTCATCACATCCTGTAGCCGGTTTCTTTTTTTGCTTTCACTGCATGGCCATAGAGGAACTGCCTAGAATATCAGCAAAAGCACCTGTTGTCTATGAAAAACTGTATGGGGATATTGAACTATAAAGCTTAAGGAGGTTAATAAATTAACAACCAATTCCACCAGGGCACATTTCACTCACACAATATGTGGCTCTAAGGCTGCACGTGTCCCCTGCCTAATTTTATGCAGCACTTCAGAAACGGTAGGACCAGCTTTGCCCTCTGGTCCATCCCTGGGGGAATCACTCTTTTCCCTGTCATATTTGTAGGTGCCAGAGAGAAATGGGGTGAGAAAGAGATGCCATCCTGCAAATACTGCAATACACTTTTGGTTCTGGTCCCACCCACTGCCACTATGTGGTACCCAACATATTCCCCTTGAGGAAATGTGGCTTTTGAGAAAGAAGAATGTTCTCCATTCGTGGTTTAGAAGATTGAATTTTGGAGTTATTTGGCCCAATATATGAGATTGTGGAATAAATATTTATCAACATAATACTGGTATTAGCAATAGGAAGGAATTTCTCTGTTTGTGAGGAGGCCCAAGCTCCAATGACCCTCATTCCTGCTCATAAGAAAGGCTCACTCAGTTCTGAATACTGAACTGGGTTCTGATAAAAAGGAGCCAGGTTATTTTCCTATTTCATTTGGAAAAATAACCAGGTTCTGCAAAGTCCAAGTCCAAGCTGAGCCAAGGGGAGACCAGCCATTACTAGTAGTGTTGATTTGAATTAGCCTTGATTTGATTGAATGAGAATAAGCAGAAACATGTTCAACTGGAATGAGACTAGATGCATGGCATCGTTTTCTTAACTCTGCTGTTCTTATCCATGCCCCTCTGACACATTCTCGTTCAATTAGTCTAAGGTAACCTAGTGTATTGGCATTGGCCATGGAACAATTGGTTGTTGAACTTCTAGTACCATTGAGTCATGGGGTAGCTTTGAGGTACACTTAACGTTTTTTCAATTCATTTCTAGTTTCATTGAATGCAGATTCCCAGGCACACAGATGGAACCAGAATTTGTGACTCAGTCCTTCCATCCTTGAAAATGCCAAGCATGACTACATTCCTAGATCACAGAGAATGATGTGATGATTACAGTGCACATCATTTATCCAAATAGCCTAGAGGGCCATTGGAATAATCAGAAGCTCAGATAAACAGCCATGCTATTTACAAGGGTTTGCCATGAGTCAGGCCACATAGCTGGGGGTAGAGGGGTGTAAAGAGGCAACACAGACACTTTCCTGCAAAAATAAGATATATTCTAGATTTCCCCCCTGCATTTTTATATGGACCAAAATTTTATATTTCTGATTTTTCTCCATATGCTATCTTGCATTATTAAGAAAATGAATACTTTAATGGAGACTATTTCTATAGTTGGTGCATATATGTGTATACATCACTTGATTGCTCCATTCTTTTATTATACACCTGGTGATTGGCAGTTGAAGTTACAAGAAGCAAAATTAAAGTTCTGTGCTCACATTTTATCTGCAAGGGCCCATTCACACATTCAGCATATTGCGACACAAGCCTGGCCATGATTCTCCATACCATGGTACCCCTCAGGTTGGATTAGCTCTGTTGGTTAGAGCATGGTGCTGATAACGCCAAGTTCATGGGTTCGAGCCCCATTTGGGTCAACTGCATATTCCTGCATTGCAGAGGCCTGGGCTAGATGATCCTCAAACTCTCTTCCAACTCTTCTATTCTAGATTTATGGATTACTGCAGTGCATTGTACATGGGGCTGTCCTTGAAGACTGACTGGAAATGGCAGTTTGTATAGAATGCAGATGTTACACAATTTACTAGGCTGGGTGTTGAGATTATATCTCACATGTGCTTAAAGAACAGCACCGGCTCATAGTGTTTCTGTGAGCACAATTGAAGATTGTAACATGGGACTTGGGACATAGCTTCTGAAGAAATGTCTGCATTCACTTCAGTCTACCTGTGTGCTAAAATTGTTGTCACAGAAACTTCTCTGGGTGTCTTCTCACCCAGAGAAGAGTTATGGGTGCATAATTACAGAGGGTCTTCCCTGTTGTGACGCCCTATTTGTGGAACTCCCTCTCCAGGAAGCACGTGCCAGGAAGGCCCTTTTAAATTCCCACCTGAAGGGGAATTTTACTGCTGCTTTATCTTCCTGTTTTTATGAATTTCTTGGCTTTTTATTGTATTTTTACCCTTTTAAACATCTGTAAACAATGCTGATCATGGGATTATGAGCAGCAGGATAACGAGTCCCCTAATAAATATTTATAAAGTGATGAACTCGCAGTGTGAATCAGTCTAGAGGTTTCAGATAGCCATAGTTCAGAAAACCTGGTTCATGTTGTAACTACTCCTATACACATGCTAGCTATTCTTAGCATTTTTAGAGCTGAATGACTTAATCTATTCTCAATTCAACATCTTCTCACTATGTGTTTCCCCAATGATTTACTCGTTAAACTGCTGCACTCTTGTATTTAATGTGCAAGGCTTTGAGGGGATACGGAATTAGCTTATTTCTCTCTGTTTTGCAAAGTTGCATTGTGCATATGGCAACATCATTTGGTAGCATCACTGAAAACTGCCTACTTCCCGGACAAGCACACTGAATCTAGTTTTCCTCCAATTTCCATCTATCACCCTGTGAAAGCTAGCGCAACAGACTGAAAATAGCTTCTCAGCAACTTCAAGTAGAGATTATCTGTGGTGTGTCTTGCGCGTCGGGGAAGTGGGATGCTACTCAAACATGTGATTTTCCTTTTGAATGGTTTGACGACCGGGTTGTGCCATGGGATAGCTTGCAGGATGACTGGCACAGATATTGTCACCTGAGGTTAGATTACTCAATCTGTAATTAATACAAGCAGTGGCCAAGCTGACCCCATAATATCTGAATAGGCTCAACGGGGCTATTCTCAAGTAAGTGGCATGATAATTGCAGCCCAATATCCTGATCTTATGCACAGATGGCACTCCTGAATGAGTGGACTTCCCTGTTCACTTCAGTGGAGGAGATGAAACACCCACCCATCCTTTTGCATATGCAGAGTTTTCCCTTTTCTGTTTAAATTAATGGGAAAGTCATTGAAGGCAGGGAGAATTGTGTGGATGGTTGGGTCAGGATCTTATATTCATGAGATCTGCAATTCAGTTCAGCCAGAATGTACTTAACTGAAGCCAGTTTAGTTCTATTAGACTCCTGCTCAGTTGGTTTGTAGATCAGAATTTTTTTTAATTTGTCCTTAATCTGGCAAATGTTTTATTTCCTAGGTGGTCCAGGAAACTTCTCTAGCATTTTGGTATACAGCTTTTTTGCTTCCAGAGCCCCCTAAGTCTTCAGTGTGTTCCTAATTTGTATGGCAATGCTCCAACTGTTTTACCAGCACCAAGCTCTTTTAATAGCATCAAGCACTGGTGTCTCGGCTCTGGAGCAAGCAGAATAGTTTGGGTGTGCTTTTGTCTTTGGTGAATGATTTTCTGTTGCGTGGTTATTTGTAATAATGGGCATTCATTATCAAGAGAGAGTCCTTTGCTCAGGAGTCATCATGGGGCATGCTGCAAATGAATCTTGACATGACTTTGCATTTGTGTATTAGGGGCTCATAATGTGCATTTATTTGTGTAATGCAGAATGCAGTTTTTAAAAAACATCAAAGTGCAGATCATACATAGCAGATGCTTCTAAAATATCACATCTTGGCCAATTCTTCTGCGGGTTTTTCTTCCCAACTTCCAAATATCTTGGTGCACATTTAAAAGGAATAACCTGCCATATTTTATTTAAAACCATAGCCAAGTTTGAACTCACAGAAGCACAACGAGCAATGGAATGCTCTTTTTATTTTTTTTTAAAAAAATTCCTGTAACTTTAAATGCTGTAATAGTTTTTATTGTTTTGTTTAAGAAAAAACTATGAAAAATATACTGCTTGAGGTTCCTCCTGGATCAAATTGCTCCTGTGTTATTATACAATGCAGAGTTTATTGTTGCATAAATACAAGATTGAGTAGTACATATGGTATGCTTGGTTATGTCGTTCTGTATGAAATCTGCAATGCATCCTATACATGCTTACTCAGAAGTAAGTCTTACTGTATTCAGTGGTGTTTATACTTGGATGAATATGTCCAGAATTTCTGTTTGAATTGTTCTAATTTAACAGGATCTTTTTGATACTGCTGAGGGCAGGCATATTTCTTGCCCACATTGTTATTCTGTTCGTATTCAAAGAACTGTTTAACCTTGTACTTTTAGCAGTGCTTGGTAATATCTTGCAATACAGAAAGTTCAAAATAATGTATGAGAAGTCATTACTTCTCTCTGTAGTAAGCATTGTGCGATGCAGAGACCTGAAAATATGATTTCAAGCAACCAGGTAAATAACATTCACATGACCATTATAGCCTTAAACTGTTTTCATGAAATGTCTGTATTTGATTACATTTTGTGAGAGTGAGTTGAGGGTCTGTGCGAAGTAAAACTGAGCATTTTAAAGAAACCTATATTCCTTAAAGTTGCCTCTATAGTTATAGAGGAAAAAAGCAGAAATTTATTCAGTGTATTATAAAAGGTGGGTGGGTTTCATGGTGATATTAGGAGGGGGAAATAGTTAATTTGATTAGCAAAGACTAGAAATATTATGGAAAAGTTTACTGTATGGAACACAGAATGAACCATAATATTCCTATATTTGTATATAAGCTGGTAACATTTAATAAGGGCCATGAAATCCCAATCAGTTGCCTTATAAATATTACCTAATGTATTGTAATACATATTATTATTATTATGTCTCTTTTTGCCATTGGTTCTGTGCATGATAATGTAATAAATGTGCTGGAGCGTTTCCTCCTTGCTTGCTTTCCCTTCCCTTCCCCTCTCCATGCTTCTAAAGCCCTGCACTTCAGTGTATTTTATTTATTCAGAGTACAGCTCTTGGCCTGCTTAACCAATCAGAGAGGCTTTAAGGGCCCAGGACTAGCCATGGTGCTGAGCTCCAAATGTGATTCCAACCCTGACAGGAGGATTATAGGAAACAGATGACTTACGCTTCTAATTTGTGGCCTTAAATTGCAAACAGAATTTCAGGAGTCGAGCAGAGTAATAAATGGCAATAGAGAAAGCCACACACAGCCAAATCAGTATGTGGTGGTTGTAGGTTAAACTAAATAGGAAGAGACAGGTTATGATGGTTTAGTGTATTACAGAGAAGAAAGTCTTAAATTACTAGTGCTGAGAGGTATTGCACTATAGCAGACAGTATTCCATTGTATAGTCTGCAGATAGCATGAGCAGAACAATAAAAAGGCAGGTTTAGTAGAAAACCTGTTGCTGGACAAATCTTTCCCCTTACCTAGAAAAGAAAAGCTGTGTTTTATGTTTGCTTTGACCTTAACTATATGTTGGCCTCTTAACATCTGTTTTCTACTGTTGCCGTTTTTCACACCAAATTAACTGTCAGGGAGTCAGATAAAAAAAGTTTAAAATACTTCCAAATTATTATTTTTTTGATTTTCCACGATGGCCAACAATACTGCCCCCCATTTCCCTTCTTTATCTCAAACTGTATGAAAAAAATAATCAACAAACTTACACCAGATTTCTTTCTGATAGAAGGCATAATGTCATTGTGATTCTAGCACACCATACTCTGACATAACATTGCAGGAGATGAATCCTGGTATACTCCATATTGCTGGAAGATAGTGTAGTTACAGTAATTCATTGTTTGCTAACTAGGACAGTTTCTGGATGACCCCCCCCCAAAAAAAAACCCCACCACAAAAAGTTTCAGGAAATTTTAAAAAAGGGAATTTGTAAATTTCTTTTTTAAAATGTTATTTATGATTTTCATTTATAACAAATATACATTTCAGCAAAACACACACACACACAAACAATTCTTATATACCAATCTTTGACTTCCTCCCCCCTCTTTTTGTGGCTCTATAAATTTGTTCGCTTTCTTTTCCCCTGCATATCCCAATTAACTCTATTTATTCTTTTTCTCATCTATTTCCTATACATTTTATAAACTGAAAGTTTTTTACAATACAGTGGTACCTCGGGTTAAGTACTTAATTCGTTCCGGAGGTCTGTTCTTAACCTGAAACTGTTCTTAACCTGAAGCACCACTTTAGCTAATGGGGCCTCCTGCTGCCACGCCACGATTTCTGTTCTCATCCTGAAGCAAAGTTCTTAACCCGAGGTACTATTTCTGGGTTAGCGGAGTCTTTAACCTGAAGCGTATGTAACCTGAAGCGTATATAACCCGAGGTACCACTGTAATCCTGCTAATGTCTTAATTTGTTCGTAAATATTCAATAAACAATTTCCATTCCTTATTAAAAGTTTTGTTGTCTTGATTTCGTATTCTTCCGATAAGTTTTGCCATTTCTGTATATTCCATTAGTTTCTGTAGCCATTCTTCTCTCATTGGGACTTTGTCTTCTTTCCATTTTGGGGCAAATATTCTTGCAGCGGTAGTTGCAGGGAATTCGCAAATTTCATGATCTAACAGGACCAAAGTGATTCTTTTTCATGGGTGCTTCCAGATTGGGTCAGGGCTTCTCATGCATAGCAGCCCCCCCCCCAGTGTCTGCACTATATTGTTGGTTTCAAAATGCCTGCCCTCCCAATTTATCTGAATTTATGCCTTTTGGGGGGAAATCCAGTAATACAGACATGCTACCTGTTTCTGATTATATCAACAACCTATTTGCAAATTAAGCTCCTCTCGGGAGGCACCCAGAACTACTGGATCACATGGTTTTCCTGGAGCGTCTGATTTTGGGCAGCCCAGTTTAGTGCCACTTCATTACCTAGAGCTTGCAGTGAAGTGCATCACAGCCAACAAAAGGGGTCTTTATTTCTATTACCAACATTTATATTCTTCCCCTTCAATGTCAGCTGGCATTTCCAGGGTGGCAAAGGGAGACGAGGAGCAACAATAGCAGGAAGTGATGAGTTTGACTTTTCCTACAGAGGCATTTAAATTACAGAGGCTGCAGTTCTATACCTACTGACATGGGATTAAGCCTCATTAAGGAAAGGGGAGTTTACTTCTGAGTAGACATGTACAGGATTGTGCAGTTACAGGATCAGTCCTTTGTTTATTTACTCAGAAATATGTCCTACTGGATATAATGTACCTGACTTCTCAGTAAATGTGCCTACGACTGCAGACGTGGCTCTTTACTCAGTGTTAATGCTGATTTCACACAAGCCTTGTAAAAATGTAAAAAGATTTAGCAACAGTGAAGTCTGCCTTAGGTTCTCAATTTACAGGTGTGATAGTCCCTCCCCCCCCTTCACTACAGCAGTTACACACTTTTGTGTTTGCAATCTCTTAGGAAGGAGAGGAGAAATACCAACCCCAAATACTAATGAGCTACTGAGTTGCTGTCTAATGATTTCTAATAAAGAGATAATTGTCTTGAAAAAGACAAATGTTCAAAATACAATGATAAGGTTGGTGGGTGGAGAGAACAATTCTTTGCTTCAAAGCAATGCTTGAATATATTGTGGCATATAAGGCTTAAAGATGCGTATATTTAATCCTCGAGCCATGTAATGGCATTTTCTTGGTCAGATAATTCATCATGTTAAAAACTTTAGTCATTGGAAGCGCTGTGTTTTATTTCAAGCATCAAAGCCCACTTACATCAGAATGAACGAAAAGTGTTGTCATTGCCAAATGGTTATTGTTTTAAGCAGGTCTGTTGATTATCATTGGAAATGACTTGCTAAATACATTTTGATTAATCACTTGCAAAAATTATGCTTGTTAGAGCTGCTTTCTATTCTGTTCTCAGCGTAGGTTATATAGCTTGCTTCCTTTACAACTGGGATGCGTAAGCCACCCCTCCCCCGCTCTTTAAAGTTACCTGGTGAGAAAGGAAAACAAATCCTAGTCTAAAGCTTTTGTCTAAAAACCCTGGTTCCCTTTTTAAACACACACGCACACAATTATTGTCTGTGCCATACAGGAAAGAATGGAGCCTATATATCAGACCTGGACATTTTCCGACAGGAGATGGCTTTTGTTTTTGCACCCCGTCAACACCGATCACCTAATTAAATCTGATATCTCTGGCTGCCACAAAATAATTTGTTAATAGTTCTTTGGGAATTTACTTAATGAGTTTAGATGTCTTTTGTATGGTACATGTGGGGGCATTTTGGAAAATGGAGCTGAGCGGGGGAAATGGGGGCAAAGCAAAGAGGAGTTCAAAACAAAACAAACAAAACAAAACAACCCCCCCTCTCCACCACCCTCCTGATACAACCAAGCCAGACGTGGTAGGTGTAGTTTGAACACATATGCTTGTGGACTGTAGTCATTCATTAGCAGAGAACAGAAAGCAGTTCTGAAAACAACACACAAAAACCTTCCCTATCAAATCCAGCCGTGGACATCTGTCAGGGATTCAGATGCTACACCTTGATCAAGCTGAGACGGTGGCACCATTTTCTTTAACAAACACCAGAAGCCTTCCTTGAGCCTTTATTTTAACATTTTCTCAGGGGTTAGATTCCCTTTCTTCTCCTGCTCTGTGGAGAGTAAAAGGAGCTTGTTAACTTGCTTAGATATTTTGACTGCTGATGCACTCTGGCCACTTGCCTGTGGTAACAGTGTCAAAGCGTTACTGGGGATAATTGCTATATTTGCAGTCCGATGAGTGCCTGGACTTGGCTGCGTGTGCAAGCGGCTAAAACAGAAAAAGGGCAAAGGAGAGAGTTCTGTGAATCGCCTTCCATGCTTTCCCAGTGCCTAGTTCGTGTGAACAAATGTCAAATTAATTCAAACTTTGAGCGGGGAAAAGAAGGTGGGAGGTTATAAAGAAGAACTTCAAAGTATAGTCCATGCCCCAACCTGCATTGCTTGAGGATTGGTCAAAATACAGATCTATTTTGTTGGGTTGATGGCAGTGTTTTATAGGCCTATCTAGAATGGAGGGACGCGGGTGGCGCTGTGGGTTAAACCACAGAGCCTATGACTTGCCGATCAGAAGGTCGGCGGTTTGGATCCCTGCGATGGGGTGAGCTCCCGTTGCTCAGTCCCAGCTCCTCCCAACCTAGCAGTTCGAAAGCACGTCAAAGTGCAAGTAGATAAATAGGTACCGCTCCGGCGGGAAGGTAAACGGCGTTTCCATGCGCTGCTCTGGCTCGCCAGAAGCGGCTTAGTCATGCTGGCCACATGACCTGGAAGCTGTACGCCGGCTCCCTCGGCCAGTAAAGCAAGATGAGCACCGCAGCCCCAGAGTCAGTCACGACTGGACCTAATGGTCAGGGGTCCCTTTGCCTTTACCTAGAATGGCAATACCACTTTTAACTGACATGCCCCACACCCCATGGATCCTGGGAAATGAGGTCTGGTGAACTTTTTGTTACCGATTCCATGCTGCAGCTCCCATTACTCTGGGGGGGGGGGCAGGGAGGGAATGCCTATTAAACCAGTTTAACCCTGTAATAGAGATAAGGCCTACATATGAGGAACAAGTCGGTGGAAGAAGATAGAAGGGTTTTCTTGATCAGTGGGCTGTAGACTGAGGGCAGAATGAGCTAGAACAGGCCTGTCCAGCTTGCGACCTACTCATACAAATGGAGTTCACCAGCCATGCATTGTTTTTTCTTCTTCTTTCCCCGAGGACTATTGCAATCTTTCTGTCTTTCCGATCAACCAACTGTTGGCAGACAAACAGGAACTGGTGGGTCTGTGTTTCACTTGTGACTGATGGGTTCCAGAATCTGTAGCCAGTGCTTGAGCCAAGAGCGAAGGAATGTGCTATGGCATGATGTTTTCTGTTCATGTGCACCTTCGTGGCATTTGCTCTCCTCCTGCCCCGCCCAGGGAGGAAGGACTGAATGAGGAACCCAAAACCAAGAAGCTAACTCAGAGCAAACTGTCCTGATCAAACAGATATTCATGTAGGTGGAGCTTAAGAAGAAATGAAAGACTGTGGAGAGTTCTAGGCAGGAGAAATGTCCACCCTGCATTTAGTTGTGCCCAACTTCTTCTCTGTTGGAGGGGCTGGTACTTTATCTTTCCCCAGATGGCTCCTCCTTTTATGAAAAGATGGATAAAACCTCTTGGCAGTCCGAGACCAGGCCCTTAGTTTTTCTGTGAGCGACCGGTTGCAGCTTAGATGTCCGTAACAAAAAACAAAACAAAACAAAAACCCTCCTAGAATCTCTGGTAAACATTTCCTGTTGCTATACATGCCCAGCCCACAACAGTAGTCTTGGTGTGTGTTTGACAAAACACAGCTATTCCCATAATGTCACATTGTGCAATATAACATATTTTCTCTTCTCATAGAAGTGTGAGAAAAGTTGCCTAAGAAAGATGTCTGTGCTGGAGCAGTTTCTAGGCCTTCAGTAAAATCACATGACCCTCATTCTGGTCAAAGAATGTTTTCTTCCTGTTGTTGTTGTTGTTGTTGTTGTTTAAACTAGAACACCCAAGGTCCATCAACCTGACCCAAGTGCAAGATTGTGGCTCAGAGTCCTGGACGTGCACTTGCAATTAAGGAACAGCTTGCACTGAAGTACACACTCAGCCCAGCATTTTGTTTTTGATACCAGAACTGGGCTCACAATGCCGACTTGCAAAAATCCGCACTGAGTTTTCTTTCCACCTTTCTTGCTTTCAGGAGCCTAATTTATATGAGGAAAGCCTTTTGTTGCTGCAGTTTTTAAACAACAGAGAGAGAGAGGAGTTTGAGTCACCCAGAGCATTCCTGGTAGATCTGAAGCTATCTTCTACCCAGACTTTCTCTATGGAACTTGGACACAAGGATACAACTTTGAAACTATGAATTTGGAACTGGGTAGCTTCGAACCACCAAAGGGCCAAACCTTTGAGCTTGTCACAACACATAAGCGATTAGAGAACTGGCCCAAAAGTTATTCATAAGACCATCTCTCCATTTTAAACTTAGAACACGTACTGTAAAACATTTGAGCGCCCCTAATTAAGAAGTAACTAGAGAGTATTAAAAATATTAGTTACATTGTCAATTGTGTCACAAGTCATATACAGTATAGATTGCATCTGACAATTTTTTGATGGCCCTTCATTTAGTAAAGATGTGAATAATTTATAGATGCTCTTATGACATCCATTTTCCGAATGGAAATTGAGAATATAATGGAATTTAATGTTATTAATATGCAATAACAAATGGCAACTTAAGGAAAGATCGGTTATAAAATATACCTTCATGATAAGAATTGCATTCACGGCTTGCTGTGCAATTAATTTCTTTTTCTTTCTTCATCAGGAAAGCCAGAATGCATTTTTTAAAGAATTCTGTTCAAAGAAGTCCATACTTTATAGCATGATGCTTGTGGATTATGTCCCTATGAGCAATATATATAGACCAGATATGGCTATTGTAGTGCACCTATGCACTTGCAGCAAGAAGTCTTATTTTACTTATTTAATCAGGATATTTATAAATCACCCTTCCCACGGTGATGTACAACAAACATGCACGTAACATAAAACAAGGATTGGTTTTTTTTAAAAAAGTGAATATTTCAACATGGTTAACAAAGGCATTTTTAGTTGTTTTATTAAGATATTGAAATACTTATTATTAATGTAAATCTCTCTCTTGGAACGTGAGGTGTGCCACTATATGACAGTAACGCCAACAAATGGCCATAGTTGCATGGGCGTGCATGTATAATGTGTATATTGCATGACAGTTGGTTCAACTCATTTCAATCCTCATTAGGGACACCTTAGGCAGGTAAAGGAAAGGGTAGAGCTGTTGGAATTGTTAATAGTTTTCTATAGCTCCTTTCCGGGTATGCTGGAGCTTCCTACAAAAGTACTCAAATGGAAAAGTCAGCTGCTGAGCAAACACTCGCCCCCCACCCCAGCCTTCCACATCCATGTGATATTTTAAAAATTATGCCCTTTTGAGGGGTCAAAAATTTGTGCTGGCTGTATCCCATTATCATTTTTCCCTGCTACACACAGAAGAAAAACCCAAATAGAACCAAGGGAGGGCTGCAGGCAATGACAAGGCATTAAAACATAATGGGCCCGATCTTTAGCTGGTGTAAATCAAGGCAGCTCCAACGCTGTCAGTTGAGGATCCAGCTCAGGAGGTCAAATTGAGCATACGAGACCTTCTGACCTCCCCAAATAAATCTCTCCAAAGCCCTCTTCACCTTCTCTAGTCAGCTCAGAAACCCTGAGAGAGGGATTCAGTTTGCAACGCTCTCCCCTGGAGGCAATTCCCCATTTCCTGTACTATAGCCCAATTTTTCTATCCTCCTGGGTGGTAAAGACAAGGAAGTATAGAATACAGCAATTTCACAGGAGCAGGAGTTGCAGCCAGGAAGCTCTCAGGGAAATGGATGCACCCTGCATTTTTACTGTTGCTCATAGCAAAGGCTTCAGTGCGCTCCTTTTCTAATGCAAAGTGAAGTCTACTTTGTTTTTCCGCCTCCAGAAACCTTGTGAAGATGGCTGATGCAGGATGATGTGCATTTTACCTGGCAGCCAGGAGTGTTTGTTTAATACGGGATATTATTTTGAATCTGGCAAGATGCTGAACGCTAATGCTCAGCATGCTAATGACTGCCCTCTGCTCTCACGGAAACCATTAGGTACGGAGGGACTTTCGACACATGGCTGAATAGACCTCAGAGCAATATGTCAGCTGCCATGAGGGGGAGAAAAGAAATCCAGCTGGGGTTTTGTAGCTCACTCTGTTATCCAGTAGAGATTCACCTCCATAACAATTAGAGTCCTGGTTATAGAGAATTGTCCACAGCCAGCCCTACCATTAAGCAAAGTGAAGTGGCTGCCTCAGGCAGTAGATGCTGTGCTGAAGGACAGGCCTGTATGTGTCATGGGGCCTGTCCTAGGCTCCCTAAGCTAGCCTGCTGCCCTCAGGTGGATGCTGACAGTGGTGTCCTCCTCCTATTTCAGTAATGTCCACCATTCCTACATGACAAATGCCAAACCACCACCACCACCCACCATGGAAGCAGTGTAGGGTAGGTGAGGGAACTTACTCAGTTTGGATGATGGGGGGAGGGGAATCCTGAAGGAGTGTCTCCACCCCCACCGTTCAGCCCAGACACTGAGGTCCAGTGCCGAGGGCCTTTTGGCGGTTCCCTCCCTGCGAGAAGTGAGGTTACAGGGAACCAGGCAGAGGGCCTTCTCAGTGGTGGCGCCTCCCCTCTGTGGAACACCCCACCATCAGATGTCAAGGAAATAAACAACCACCTGACTTTTAGAAGACATCTGAAGGCAGTCCTGTTTAGGGAAGTTTTTAATGTATTGTGTTTTTAATATTCAGTTGGAAGCCGCCCAGAGTGGCTGGGGTATAAATATATTCTTATTCTTATTCTTATTCTACCTGACCCTAATGTGATCTTAGAATGTAACTTGAGAATGAGTGGGCAGGCAGGGACAAAGTGGGTTGGCTTGGAGCAGGCATGGTCTTTTGTAATCTACAAAAGTGTAGAGCCAGTGTGGTGTAATGGTTAAGAGTGGTAGACTCGTAATCTGGGGAACCGGGTTCGCGTCTCCGCTCCTCCACATGCAGCTGCTGGGTGACCTTGGGCTAGTCACACTTCTTTGAAGTCTCTCAGCCCTACTCAGCTCACAGAGTGATTGTTGTGGGGGAGGAAGGGAAAAGAGAATGTTAGCCGCTTTGAGACTCCCTAGGGTAGTGATAAAGCGGGATATCAAATCCAAACTCTTCAAATCCAAACTCTTCTGCTTTGTAGTCTACAAGGCTCTGCCACCCCACTGGAGTATCTTGTGTCATGTGCACATACACGCTGACATGCCTCACTTATGTCCAGGGATGGATGCAGCACTGCATCCTGCACAAACTGTACTCTAGGGCCTATAGATTTCAGTAGATGGAGGCGCATCCCACACAAGTTCCTGTGTATGAAGGGAACGCTGCAGCGCTCAACAGAATCCATTTGGCCCCATCCTTCCCCCAAGCTACCCCACTCTGGGTATCTCTCATGTCGACCTCTCTTGCTAAGATCTTAAATTATCCTTATCCTTCTGAAAGCTATACTTCTTAATGGTGATCGTTTGCATTTTTACAACTGATTGAACCGTACAGAATACAGTTCTCAACAGCTATTAAGGGAAGTCCTTCTTTGCTTGGCAAATGCTTATTGAGTTGAGGAACAAAGCTGTGAGCCTATTATGTGAAACTGTAATGCGAGATCCATTGTTTGAAGGTTTACTGTTGTCCTTTCTCTCTTTTTTCTTTCCTCCCCCCCCCCCCTTTTTGCCTGAGCAGGATGTGAATATCTCTGGTGGATGGAGGTTAGCTAAGTAAGTCATGCATAGATGGAATTTATTAAGTTTGCACGGTAGTGACAGCTGTGAGTGGGAACAGTAACTCCAAGTGTGCCAAGGGCTTGAAGAGAAAGAATTTTCATATGTGTGTCTTAAAGGAAAACTGCAGCGTAATTACGAAAGCTGTCCTAACCACTGCATCCAATTACAGAGGGAATTCGCTAAATATGATTTTAAAATTGTAATAATTTGACAGAAGGCTGCCATTTTGAGTCTCAGGAGGCAGATTAGGACAGAGGAAAGTCAAGTTTCATTAAGAACCACTGGAAATCAGACAATTTAAGGTAAATTCATTTAATTAGAGATACATATAGCACTGTCTGTATAATCAAATAGCTGCTTTAAGAACTCTGTTAAAGGAACTAATGTGGATTCTTTTGAATATGGGATTTCCCACGTAATACTTTTGAAATGTAGTCTTGTAGCAGAAATGTTCCTCCTCCTTAATATACTCTGCCTCTCACGATGACAGTGACTCTGACAGGAATATCATTTTAAAGTATGTTTTCCTTTAGTAAAAGGATGGTTCTGTCCATGAGGTTTGATCCAACAAAACAGACAGATAAAGTTCATCTCCTACTTTAGGACGCTCTTAACCAGCCTACGAAGGCTTTTCCTCCAGCCTCTTGCTCTTCGCTGATGTAACTAAGAGCATGTACAGCTAGGAGACAAAGTGCCTTATGCTAGCGTGATTCTTCCTTTGACTTGTGCATATTTATTAGAATGTGTGTAGAATGTTTGCAACAGGGGGCGGGTCGGACAATAGCAATCTGAACTGAGAAGACCGCCAGGCAAAAGGCCACACACCACGATGAACGTGGATGCCTGCTGGAACAATGATGTATAGGAGCTAAAGTTGAGGTGGGCTGAGAGGGAGGGCAGGAATACAGGGGGTCTCTGTTTCTGTAGCAATGCAGCTACATCAGGCATATGCAAACTTGGCCCGCCAGATGTTTTGGGATTACAATTCCCATCATCCCTGAACCCTGGTCCTGTTAGCTGGGGATGATGGGAGTTGTAGTCTGAAAACATCTGGAGGGCCAAGTCTGCCTATGCCTGAGCTACATCCTCTCCTGTTTGGGGGGTGGGGAATGGAGAGGAGACGGGGTTTCTGTCAAGCATATGGCCAAATCATCATCAGCCAGCCACTGGCAAAGGAGGACCAGCCCAAAGGTTCCATAGCGATGCAGAGGAAGAGAAAATTGAAGGCGGAAGAGAGATAAGATAGAGGGGATAATGCAAGGGTCAGCAAACTTTTTCAGCAGAGGGCTGGTCCACTGTCCCTCATACCTTGTGTGGGGCAGGACTATATTTTGAAAAAACAACAACGAGTGAATTCCTATGCCCCACAAATAACCCAGAGATGGGCACGTTCTACTCATGTAAAACCATGCTGATTCCTGGACCAGATTTAGAAGGCAATTGGGCCAGATCCAGTCCCCAGGCCTTAGTTTGCCTACCCATGGGATAACAGATCCTGTAGACCCTTGCTTCTCACATCTGAGACCCAAGCTAAGGTGGCAGCAGTGCAGGACACCCATCAGTCCTTTCCTGCCATAATCATTCCTGATTATGAGTAGAGTGTCCTCTGCACCTATAGCTCTATAGACTTTTGACACCCATTAGCATAGGTTGGGCAGGGAGTCTGCTGTTTCAGAGTCCTTCTTTTGCACACCTTCATGCAGCCATCTTGATGAAGCTGCCCCTCTCTTGAAGGAGCAGGAAACAAAACTGCAACCCACTGTGAAGAGGAAAAGGGGTCAGTGGGCAGGGGGAGAAGGGCTAGTAATGAGGCACAGCAGAGTTATCTTAGATGGCTGAATCATGGGACTTTTATCAGAGCAGGAGTGATGACATCATCTGCCAGAGTATAATTGATGGACACTCCTTGTTCTGGCAAGCAACTGAGGTGATAATGAGGCTTTCACATTTGTTTGTGAGAACATAGAGGGAGTCATAGAAGAAGAAAAATAAGCAGAGGCTGGATACTTCTTTCCTTTTGTTTGATGGCATTCTTACTTCATTCTAGCAGTTTAAATGATAACGCTTCCTTGCAAGACTGTTTTTATTTCATCTGACTGAAAATCTTTCGTGTTTTCCAAGTTAAACCTATACAACTGGAAGTAAGCACCACTGAGCTCAATGGAGCTTAACCCACAGAATGTATGTATTGGATTGCATCCGGGCTAATACAAATACTTTTCTGTATACTGCTGCTCTTTGGTAGATAGGTATACGCATGTGTAATAATGGATCAGCATACCTGCCTTGGGGCGTGACTCTGGGGGACGACTCCCACACTTCAAAGCTGACCACTACACCCTTAGTCTCTATGTGCTAAGGCAACTTCCTGTGTTGTAATTCTCTGCACCCTTGCCAAACTACAGTTCTCTGGATTCTTTTTGGAAGTGGCGAATGTTTGTGGTTTCGATATACAGTGGTACCTCAGGTTACATACACTTCAGGTTACATACGCTTCAGGTTACAGACTCCTCTAGCCCAGAAAAAGTGCTTCAGGTTAAGAACTTTGCTTCAGGATGAGAACAGAAATTGTGCTCCGGCAGCATGGCAGCAGCAGGAGGCCCCATTAACTAAAGTGGTGCTTCAGGTTAAGAACAGTTTCAGGTTAATAACGGACCTCCGGAATGAATTAAGTACTTAACCCGAGGTACCACTGTACCCATCCCTGCCAAACCCTCTTCCATGTGACCTCTTTTAAAACAGATGTGTATCAAAGAGCTGATGCATTGGACCTAGTCGCTACAGTTGTTCACTTTGTGCACTTGAAGGTGTGAATGACAGGAAGGATATACCATTTATGAATGAAGTTCAGCCATACATCTTCTTTTCTTTTTATCTGATAATTTTGGAATGGCATCCTGCTCTTCTCACTTAGTCTTGGCTTGTTTTAGAGAGCTCTCGGTAAAGAATTAAATTATTTCTGATTTTGCAGAGCTCTTTAGGTGGCATCTTTTAATTTTCACCTTTTCCGGGACTTTTGTTGCAACCCAAGATTTAACATGCAGCAGGTTAATTCCACGGTTTTTAATGAAGCACTTCATTCTCTCCCCTTTTTGGTTGTTAGACCACATGGGATACGTTCCCTTGATGTGTGGGGAGTTCTGATTAGATGAAAACATACCTCTGAGGAAGCTCACATTATCACACATGAAACAACAGAAAGGGAAGGGGGAACGATGTGTAGAATCATGTAAAAATAATGGTTGTTAATCAAATTTTCCCTTAATCATTCTCCAGCATCGCTGTGGTAGCAAAGGTGGTCAGAAGGCATGCCAGGATATCCAGGCTGACATGAGATGGAACAAATAACAAGAAAAGGAGCCTCCAAGGAAGCTTGCATTATCACACAGACATTATTTCATATACAGAATTTGAGTCTCCTTGGTTTCTTCCAATTCTGAGAAGGTGTGTGCTATTATACAACATTTCTGGAAGTTGCCAGTATGGATACAATCTCAGAAGTGTGTGTGATGAAGTTGATTATGAGCCTCTACTTCAGGGGTGGGAAACCTCAGACTCTACCCGATCCTTGAGATTTTCCTTCCACCACTCCCCTTCCCAAGATACACCCTTCATTACTTCTGCTTTCCACCCTTCTTGAATGGTTTTGCCTCATAGGAATGTGTCCCTGAACTCTGATGATGCTTCCAGCTTGTGTGGGTGGAGCATAGAGTGAAGTGTGTGTAGAAACGAGTCAGTGGTTCAGACATATGCCCAATGCTCCAACTACTTTTGCCTCTGGTCTGGTCCAATGCAACATTGGCATGTTGTGGTCCTTGAAGGTTTCTCAGAAGAGAATGTGACTCTTAGCTTGCCGAACGTTCTCCACTCCATACTGTCACCTTCCCCTGCCTGTCATTAACAATGCTATGTCTCTATGTTAAGAGGAAGTGTGGCAATAGTCTTGTTTAAAATTGACCCCAACCATTAACTCAGTGGAATGCAAGTGCCTTTCAACTTCATTCCCTCATCTATAGTACAGAGTCCACCATAACGGCTTAATTTACAGGACTACTGTGAGAAATATTCCAAATAAGTGTGAACTTTTTTGACTACTTAACGTTCGCATAGCACTTTCCCCTAATGCTTAAGAACTTTATGTAACTTTGCAAAAATCCTTACAATTGAAGTGCATGTGATTAGAGAACCTCCAAGTGTCTTTGTATCTCCAAAGTGATATATCATGACTTTCAGCTGTGCCTCTGCACTGCTTTTTTAAAATACCTACATGGTTCTTTATGTGCAGACAATGTCTTATGTCCAGACAGTATGGAGTACCTTGGACTCCCTCATGTAGTTCAATACTTTCTCATTATTTTCCCAAGTTGAATTGCTACCTCTCCAAAGAAGCAAATAATGTTAACTCCTGGTACCTAAATATGTAAGAAATCTACAAATGGGTGAGAATTAAAACTGAATTATTATTTTTTTCCATGTGAGATCCACGTTCCTTCTAGCTGTTGGAGGACTGTCAATACATACTCCATGGGAACCATCCCTTAGTGAGTCTACTGTTCATTGCAACAGGTCCAGGGGGCTCTTGATGCTGGGCTCTCTGTTGGGGTTTCGGCCTTTGGCAGATGACCAGCCCTGCTGACCCTTCACACGAGCCCTGTGTGAGAAGGATTACTTTTGAAAGTAGCTCTATGGGGGGGGGGCACTAGGGGCGCATTAGAAGATGGCCGACAATACCACATCTCTCCGACCCACACGGGGTAATTAAGAGGCTGTTAAGGGAGTAGGCAGCCTCCCTTGTTGCCCCAAGGAAATGGGGAACACTGCCCTTGCCTGCTGTGCCCATAAATCACCCCCTAATTTGAAACAAGGGGGTGAGGGCCCTAGGCAGAATGCCCCTGTGTGGACCTCGGCTCTCCTGGACGCTGTCTCTGATCGCGCACTAGCTGCAGCAATTTGGAATAATTAATTACAATAGAAGCAAATGCACATATTTGAAGTGAAGAAGGGGAGTGAAGTCTGCTAATTTAAGTGACCTCTGCGAAAGAAGACGATGTGTTGGAGAAACAGGAATATTTTACGATGAAGATACACCAAAGGCTGGGTATGTTGACAACCGGACTGAATGGGGGGGGGACGGACCTTTTTTACTTTCCTTCTATGTGATTTACAAGAACCCCTCCTCATTAGAATCGTCAGTTGAACTGACCCAAGCAGGATGATTAAGGTCTGTGTGGAGATAAACTTTAACCAAAAGTATGCTTTATGGAGATCGAGAAGCAATAAGAGCTTTTGGAATGGCGAAGCAATTAATTCGGAGTCACCATCTTGCCAAAGGATTTACAGTGGTGCCTAGCAAGACGAATGCCTCGCAAGACGAAAACTCGCAAGACAAAAGAGTTTTTCGTTTTTTGAGTTGCTTCGCAAGACAAATTTCCCTATGGGCATGCTTCGCAAGACGAAAACGTCTTGCAAGTTTGTTTCCTTTTTCTTAAAACCGTTAATACCCAGGGTGCATTGCTTGAAGAGGTGCAGTTGCGACTTGACTTTGAGGAGCAACTCATAGCACGCAAGCCACAAGCCCATGAAGGACCCTCTGACCCTGCTCTTCTGTGCCAACGCAAGCGGCGACCTGAAGATCAAGCCCCTGCTGGTGTACCACTCAGAGAACCCATGGGCCTTCAAGAAACACAAGGTCGACAAGGAGCAGCTGAGTGTCATGTGGTGATCCAACAGTAAGGCTTGGGTCACACGTGTGCTGTTTGTGGACTGGGTCAATCTTGCTGGACAACGACCTGCCGCTGAAGGCTTTGCTTCTGATGGACAATGCTCCTGCTCATCCTAAAGGCCTTGAGGAGGACTTGTTGGAGGAGTTCAGCTTCATCAACATCATGTTCCTGCCGCCTAACACCACGCCACGCCACTGCTCCAGCCGATGGATCAGCAGCTCATCGCCAATTTCAAAAAACTCTACACCAAGGAGCTTTTCAGGCAATGCTTCGAGGTGACTGATTGCACCAACATCACCCTGCGGGAATTCTGGAAGGACCACTTCGACATCGTCACCTGCTTGAAGATGATCACCACGGCCTGGGATGGGTTCAGCCAGAGAAATTTGAATTGCGCTTGGCGCAGCCTGTGGCCGGACTGTGTGGCACCAAGTGACTCTGATGCACCAGAGTCAACAGTGGTGCAGGACATTGTTTCCTTGGGGAGGACCATGGGCCTGGAGGTCACAGAGGAGGACGTCAGCGAGCTGGTGGAGGAGCATGACCACGAGCTGACCACCCAGGAGCTGGTCGAACTGCAGGCAGAGGCTGCGCAGGAGCAGGCCTCGCTGGAAGAGGAGGAAGCAACTGAGGAACAGCTGTCCTCCAAAGAACTGAGGGACATTTGCCAGAAGTGGAAAGATGTGCAGGCTTTTGCACAGCGGCACCACCCTGACAAGGACCTGACACGTGACCTTGCGAACACTTTTGATATGAGGGTCATGTCGTCTTTCAGGGAGGTGCTGAAAAGGCGGATGAAGCAGCAGACCATGGACAGGTTCTTCAGCAAGAAGCAAAGAGTGGAAGAGGAACCTTTTTCGAGTTGTCCCCCAGAGTCTTAGAAAATGTATGTACCGTACACTTTGGTGATTTTTAAATGCTTTTCTGTCATGTTTAGAAACTTAAATTATTGTTCCTTCAATTTTGAAATGCTCTTTACAGTATGTGTGACTTTAAAGAGCACTTAATAAACTCTTTTTGTACCAAATTTGGCTTTGTTTGGACTTTTTTTGACCATAGGAACACATTAATTGATATTCAATGCATTCCTATGGGAAACCGTGCTTCGCAAGACGAAAAATTCGCAAGACGAAAAAACTCGCAGAACGAATCAATTTCGTCTTGCGAGGCACCACTGTGTAGCCAGGAGGAGGAACGGACTTGTTTTCAGACTGCATTCCTGGTGAATCTCCTCAGAGGTTTTGAGAAAGGAGGCAGATTGGTGAAGATTAATGACGTTAAGACTGTTTTGATGTATGGAAGTGATGTTATATGGAAAACGTCTGGATATGGCTACTGGATTAAAAAAATAATATCCACGCAGGATTACAAACTGTTCTAACCAGCTTGTGGAGACTATCAGAGGTCACAAAGAGAAAGGAAAAATATATG